AGCTTCGTGGGCCACCCCCCACCAAGTAACTCAGGCTCCAACTGTCTTTGGAGAGTCACTTTTACCCAATTTGCATGTTCTGCTCCCTCTGCTTATTTCTTTGTATTTTTTTTTTTTTTGAGACAGAGCCTCAAGCTATCCCCCTGGGTAGAGTGCCGTGGCATCACAGATCACAGAAACCTCCAACTCCTGGGCTCAAGCAAGTCTCCTGCTTCAGCCTCCCATGTAGCTGGAACCACAGGTGCCTGCCACAATGCCTGGCTATTTTTTGATTGCAGCTGTCGTTGTTTGGCAAGCCCAGGCTGGATTCGAACCTGCCACCTTAGGTGTATGTGGCTGGCACCTTAGCCATTTGAGCCACAGGCGCCGAGCCTTTCTTCGTATTTTGTAGAGATGGGGTCTTGCTATGTCATCTGGGCTAGTCTAGAACTCCTGGCCTCAAGTGATCCTCTCTCTCACCTTGGCTTGCCATAGTTCTAGGATTATAGGTGTAAGCCAACACACCCACCTATGTTTGCCCTTTTAATTATAGAATTTATGCCTTTATTAGGTGTTCTTTTTTTTTTTAGACAAAGTCTCAAGCTGCCGCTCTGGGCAGAGTGCTGTGGTGTTGCAGTTCATAGCAACCTCAAACTCTTGGGTTTCAGTGGTTCTTTTGCCTCAGCCTCCCAAGTAGCTGGGACTACAAGCACCCACCGCAATTCCTATTTTTTTATTTTTTATTGCAGTTGTCCTTGTTTTAGTTGGCCTGGGCTGGATTCGAACTTGCCAGCTTTGGTGTATGTGGCTGGGGCCCTACCCAGTGAGCAACAGGCGCCGCCAGGCCTTCCTTTTTTTTTATAATGATGTGCCCATCCTCCTGTCCCCCAGCTCAACACACAGAGCCAGGCTATATCTTCAAGACGTAGAGGGCCTGAGCATGGAGGCTTACACATGTAATCCTAGCACTCTGGGTGGGTGGATTGGTTGAGCTCAGAAGTTCAAAACCAGTGTGAGCAAGAGCCAGACCCCCTCTCTACCGAAAATAGAAAAACTAGCTGAGCATTTTGGCAGGAACCTGTAGTCCCGGCTACTCAGGAGACTAAGGCAGAAGGATCACTTGAGGAGTTTGAGGTTGCTGTGAGATATGATGATATATAGCACTCAACCCGAGGGGGACAGAGTGAGACTCTGTTTCAAA